CTTCAGAAGGCTTACTGGACCAATTGAATGGTTTGATCATCCATCTTCAGCAATTGATGAAGTTTTCGATCATTTCTGTAGATACTGTGGAACTGTCGAAACAACGTTCTCAACAGTATTATAGAATTTCCCGCATATCTTATTTGATAGGAGAATGTTAATGGTTTAGGTTGAAGGTAATTTATTAATATTTTGATGTCTGAAAAAGCACTTGAAGATGACCAGAAATAAAGCACTGACGAATGACGTTCGAGTTCCGAATACACGCATCTATCTGGTGCGAAGTGGAGAGGACTGCGACAGCATAACACCAGCATGGCGAAATCGAGCATTCGAGACCTATCAAGCATATCGAATGGTTTGCCCTTTCGAAGCAAAACCACAATAAAATTATGGTAACCTAGAATGCTTCAGGGAATGAATCAGTGACTTACATTTGTTCTGGATCATAGTTGTCATGTATAGAAGGAACTCTTAGTTAACGAAACACTTGAAATGAAAACATTCTCGTTCAATTTGTCTGAATGATTCGAAATGAATGGGAAATTTGGTTACACAAGCAATCTTGCGCCAACAATGAACGTTTGATTGCAGTTAGATATGAATCAGCCGGCATGGATTCCAAGAAGAGCTGGTGGTGAAGATGACTACTGTATGGATACACCATTAACTAATGTCGGTTCTATGAGCGCTCAGTTGGTCGGTAGGGCGATCACAATGCGGACAGTCGTCATCACTGTTTATTCATCACCTTCGCTTGCCTCTGTCCAAGTTCGTCAGATTCACGTTCAGATCGCCTTTGAATTTTCCACTAAATTAAGTTATGAGGGTTTTGTTGACTACGAAGAGAAACGTTAATAGAATCACTGACAACTGATGAGAGTGATTCGTTTTCACTCATAAACTTTACGAGTTTTCATTCCCAGCTGAATAAATTCACTTAATTAATGCTCGAATATTAAAAAATGNCCGCTCATAACAGAGGTGCTGTTACCATCTTCAGATTCTGTTCTCAATCCACTTTTACAGTTTTTTCCCTATTTTGCATGCAGTTGTTTTCACTTACATTACTTCCTTTGAATTACGATTGAAACTACCACTGAGAGGTATTCATGTGAAAGCCGTGCGAGAGAAAACCGCTCGTACTGAAGCAATTGATAGAAACTTTAATTGGATGATATTGCATATGATCGAAGTTATGGACTGCTTGAACATGATAGAAATAAACTGATGATGAGGAGAAAGGCAATGCTTAATCAATAGTAGTTACCATGCTGTGAACCAATAGTTTCTAACGAACGAAGTGATCTCAGTCCCGGAACAACCACCGTATTCTTAATATCTCAAAATCTCCCAGAATTTTCAAGTGCATACTTCAGCTAATATGGTTTTTGAATACAGAATCCACTACCGAACTTCCTGCAAGTGAACGAATTGATCGCCTGTGGCATTGAAGTTGACTCGGCTTATAAACCGATGCTGAAGATGGAGCAATTAGGCAAAACTGTAGCAGGGGTTAGGTTTTCTTACGATTCAAATGATATTCTTCTTATCAATTTCCGTGAACTTCATTCACTATTAACTACTGGCAAATATGTAAACAGTGAAAAAAATGAATGACTGGATCGAATCAGGTGCTAGCAGAACCCACAAAGTTATCATTCGGTCAGTTACAATTCCTCAGCGAAATGTTCGTTTCAGGAACGAACATTAAGTGATGCGTATGTGAGGATTGGTGAAGTGGGCGATGAGATTGCAAAAATTTGCAGTTCACAAGGGAAAAGTGCCATTATCGTATGTGATGCGATTGGCATTGACGCGCTGTTTAGGTGGGGATTTCGATAGAATTTATCTTGCTTTCGTGAAGATCTGCACAGATAGGATCTGGCCAGACATTCCAATGAAGTGATTTCGCATCAGAAAACAATCACTTACATGATTGCTTCAGTCAAACACCGCAGTTTCGGAGCGAAATCTTTCTCGCATTGAACTGACCTAATGCTGGATAAACTTTTGCATTCTATAGTGATTCCTCAGAACAATTCAGCGAATTTTCAGGCGAATCACTCGACGAAGTGATATTCCCGAGAATTTGGAGTCGACAGCATACATGCAAAGATGTTATCCACAATGCTCTACGATCACACTGGAGTGGAATGCAAAAACGCGCTGTTGGCAATGCAAATCGAACGCAGTACCACCGATGACAATGTTCCATACGACTAACATTGTGAAAATTCCCTCATTTGGTCGGAACACCAAATTCTCCGATATACCATCGGAACAAGAACCACTTTATTGATTTTCATCATGTTTGATGTATTTGTTCGAAAGTGCTTCCGTGTTTCATCTGTTGTAATGATTTCATTTCAAGTATTCGATATTATTAGCACTCGAATATCAGTTTTCATAAATTTGTCGAAAAAGGCTCTAACCATTATGCGAACGTGAAATCTCGAAAAATTGAACATTTTTAGAATGCTAGGAAAAGGAGCACGATTTTGATTGTTCTTTATAAGTTGTTTTTCTCAGAAAATTTACATTTGGAATGGCACACACAAAATCGTATTTGGTCTCTTGTTTGGATCATATGTTATGTTCGAATGCACTCGAAGAGATCTCCTTCCAGTGAGTCTCAATCGTTAATGTGTTCTCTTTTATGGTGTGCGAGTTTCAAAGCATCACCTGTGCTTTGTTTTCATTGCAAAATTGAGCTCGAAATAATTCTGTTATTTCTAATTTGAAACATGCTCCATCGAAAATGCAATTGTATGAAATAATAGGGAGGCTCTCAAAGGAATTTCACCTCCAGTATCATGATAACATTCGTTTTTAGAACGCTCATTCGTTAAACGTCGTGTGTATTTTTTGTGAAAAGAAATCTGCTTTTCAGCATTTCATCATATTTATTATACTTTAGGAGAGATAAACATTTGATTTATGATTTGAAATCATTTGAAAAGAGAATGAGTTATTTGTTTTGTGACACATTCCATCAGTTGAATGAATGGAGCGCAGTTGTTAGGCTGCTTGAAGGCAGCAATATTTAAAGACGGAATGAAAATGAAACGATGCAAACTACGGGGAGTTCGAAGATGGTTCGCCTTGACCGAATGAAACTTTGTGGTAGTGTGGTAGCGTTTGATATAATGAATGATGTGAGAGAATAATCAGTGCAGCTGAACAGCTCAGTCTTACTTTCGAACGTTTCTTTCTCTTATTTTCAAAAAACAACAATCTATTAATTCCTTATTGCGAATTCCCGCAGCATTACGACTCAACCTGAAGACCGATCCTTCAAACTGAAGCAATTATACGAATATCATCAGGTGATCACTATGACATCAGCTAAGGAAACCACTGTAACAGATAAGTGCATGTATATAGAGAATTACTCCAGGACGGGTTCTGAAACACGCCAACCATCTGCTTTCTGCGGTCCGAACGATCCAAATTTGCTGACGGTCTTTGAATCAAGCAATACGCAAACAACGCAACAAACATTTTCTGACAAGAAGAAACAGAAGTTACAGACCGTACTGTAACGCTATCGAGTGTATAAATTCATATTTCACTATTAGCATTATATAACGGACTGCTGGTGAAGGATAGTCGAAAGAAGCGGAATAATTTTGAGACGGAAACATCATCAGGTTCTACCAGCCACTGGTACTGGTATCGATGGAATGCAGGTGAACTGATTGTTCAGAGAGCCAGGATGATAACCTCTGCAACAAGATGCTCGTGGATAGGTGCAAACAAGGAAATTGCACGGCACCTTTTGGAAAGTCGACCTGAAAGGTCGCATTCTTTAGTGTTTAACCATATACTTCCCAAAAAACTAAAGTGTGATTCTTAATAGAAAGGGAACTGTTATCACAGATAACATTCATTAACATTCTCTTATGAGTATGAATGCTTCAAAAACAACACTCCCGTACAGCCACGTCTCAGCTAACTAAAAGGCATCAGTTGGAGTCAATACTTTCTTCTGATTCGATAAAAATTCAATGGAAAAATCAGAGCCTAGTCAAGATGAATGTGTAGAGAATGAAGCGGTCGCTAACCCAGAACAACTGCAAATTGGAAGTGTCTGGTTGCATGATCGAAAACGTTGTTTCGAGCCGCATGCACCACAGGTATCCGTGCACTGGGACCATTGACCCCAGGCATTCCATGCTGTTCCGTGACAGAGT